ATGAATTGTTTTGTGAATGAGCTTAATTTGATTAGAAATATTTCTTTGTTCTGCATGTATAGCTTAAGCTTCTTAGAAGTCGACGCTGAGTCTGAAAATTCATTGAAATTTTTTGTTGCTTTATTCTTGAGAATTTAAAGTTGATTTATTTATAGAAAGCTTAAGTGTTGAATTAGGGATTTTCCAAGTGCAAATAAACAGGACCTTAATTGATTATTATTAGATGAATGATGATACACAAGCTCAGAATTCATCACTTAACTATAAAATGCGTCATAAAGCTTTAAAGTTCCAACTTTTCCACATCAATCGTCTTGTTTATTACAAAAAATTGAATGAATATTGAATAAATAAATAAATATCATTGATGTACATCTCAAATAAGGCTTAGACAAACAAAACAATTTGTCACTTTCATATGTATGAAAATTTTATAAATATAAAGTCAATCTGATCTTTCGATCTTTATGAGCTGGAGCTCATTAATAACAAATGAATTACATTTTCATCATTTCTAAATTGACATTCAATTTTCTCGAGAAAGAAATGCATGCATTACAATCATAAATATTTCATATATACATGAATGAGTTTTTATCATCAAACGACGTCAATTAGTCTAGCTATAGCCAATTAAATCAACTTCATCAGTTTGTGAAAAGGCGGAAGAATCATGTGTGAGTTGTAATTATTTAAATAATCTTTATTATTGTGTATGTTTGTGTCTTATCGCCTCACTTACTACTTCACTGACAATTCCGCAATCGTGAATCGACGTCAACTTGTCTGGTGAGCGAGGAGGAAAAGTAATAATGGCAGGCACTTCAAAATCTTTACAGATTGATGTGATATTCTTAATAAGAAAAAATTATTTCTTCATATGAATAACTTTTACTGGATGCTGATGATGATTGGGGACTCTTGAAAAAAATATTATTGAACGCAACTTTGAAGCAGAAAAATTACTGAACGCACTTTTGAAAGCAAAAAATTACTGAACTCACTCTTGGAGCAAAATATTACTGAACGCAACTTTGAAGCAAAATATTACTGAACGCACTTTTGAAGCAAATATTTCATGAACGCACTCTTAAAGAAAATATTATTGAACGCAACTTTGAAGCAGAAAAATTACTGAAAGTACTTTTGAAAGCAAAGAATTACTGAACTCACTCTTGGAGCAAAATATTACTGAACGCAACTTTGAAGCAAAAATTTACTAAACGCACTTTTGAAGCAAATATTATTGAACGCAACTTTGAAGCAGAAAAATTACTGAAAGCACTTTTGAATCAAAGAATTACTGAACGCACTCTTGAAGCAAAATATTACTAAACGCACTTTTGAAACAAAAAATTACTGAACGCAACTTTGAAGCAAAATATTACTTAACGCACTTTTGAAGCAACTATTTCATGAACACACTCTTAAAGAAAAATATTATTGAACGCAATTTTGAACAAAAATTACAAGCCGCACTCTTGAAACAGAAAGAAATAGGCTTAATATTGAAGAAAACTTAGAAGAAATATTCAACTCCAGAAACAAAGTTTAATTCAAAACAATTATCATGCACACAATAAATCTCTTAACAGGAATAAAAGCACTCTATCTTTCATAACAAAAAAATTAACCGTAAACGCCAGAACCACTAGATAAAAAAAAGATTTATTGTTTTGTATTTACATCGACGAGAACCTGCTCATCAGCTAAAGCTGATAAGAAATTAAAAGCTGGACGCTTCGGAAGTAGAAAATGTATTTTATTGCTTTGCGGTTTCTAGGTTATTTCTATTGCCTGCTCTGACATTTAACTACTTACTTACTTAGTCTCATTTTTATTTTATTTTTCATATTCCCAACTGCATCGTTGTTTTTTTTCTGTTGAAACTTCTCTTTTTTTCGAGTCATAAACAACTCGGATTTTTAATTGAATGAAATATAAATTATAACTTTCAGTGAAAATTCATTGGAGTCTTACACTCAGTGATTATTATTATCACATTCTTTTTTGTGAATTACTTTCATCGTGGGATGAGCTCACATAATCATTAGGTTTGGAATTTACTAGTTCCAGTAAAATATTAATGTCACTATAACCGGATATGAGTCAATTACTCTGTGTCTCTTTCTCTCTGTACATTTTTTTTTTGCTCCAAATTGTGTGATATCACTGCAATCTTCTCTCCTCTTATGCTGTGAATGAAATAATTATTATGGAAAGTTCAGTGTACCAGTAAGCCCCGAAACAACAAAAAAAAATTATCCCATAAAGTCTTCTCGTCTCTGTCTCAATACACACATACCTTGAGATTGGATTGGAATTGAGGTTAAAAATATATTTATTTTTTTAAAGCTTTAATCCGTAAAATATCTACATATGTATTCTCGATAAATGTCAAGTTTTTATCGTCTGCAAATGTTCTTTCTTCCTTCTTCTTGACGCAAACAGAAACTTCAAGAAATTTCCAGTTTTCACACTGATCCTATAAAATCGCATGTTTTTCATTTCAACAAAAAAAATGTGTCTATTTTTGGATGTCTTTTACTGTCTCGAGAGAATATAATAAGTGATATGATATCGTAAACATGTTGTGCTGACGCATTCGCGAATTTATTGGGATAGTTTTAACTTTTATATCACCAATTCGATATGTAGATTTCGACTTTATCACAGGAATAAAGCTAGTCAGCTAAATAAATATTTAAATAGGGTGACAGATCTAAATATATTAGGCTAGAAATACACATGTTAAACTAGAAATAGAAACAAAAAATTCTTAGGAAAAAATTTATAGCTTGAGAATATGAAATCAGGATACCTTGAAAACCAGAACTGGAAAAAGCGTCGAGGCGAGATAAATTGATTGAATGATGCTTAACTGGTGAAACGTGCGAGCAAGCACACGTTTAAAAAGCCGCTTAGATTTTTTTTAAAAATCATTCAAATCTGCTTGGTCAATCTATTGGGTTAGGGGTCGTTAACTTGTGAGGAATAACTCAATTTTTTGGGTGACAATAAGATTTTAGAAACCTCACTTTTGACGTCCTTAGTAATATATGATCCAATTAAGCATTCATAAATTTGGGACCATTTTAAAAATCTTAACAAATTGAAGCATTTCTCTAAATAGAGTAAACCGTCCCTCTCCCTAGATGCACCACTTGAAAAGACCTAGGTCCACATACCTGAATTAAAAATCGTAATAACTTCTCAGAATCAACTTAAAATTCAGCAGTTTATTGTAAATCAGCAGTGGAATAGATGTCAAGAAATGAGATATAAACTTCTAAAAAATTTCAAGATTCAACTCGAATGCTAAAGCTTTATAAAATGACCCCCACTAATTCATACTCATTCAACAACCTACTTTGCCTCGAAAGCACGAGAAAATGCGACACTTAAAATTCTTTTATTTAATAAAATTATTATTATTGTGGATATAAATACCTGAGAGGACATGTAAAAAATTCTTAAGAATTAAGAACTACTCAATATTTATTTTACAAGTGTGCGAGACACTCCTTCAAGAAATAAAATAAAGCTCTTAAATTATTTGACGAGTTTTATGCATTTCTGCGACACAGAATCAATCATTTAAAGAAGGTTCACACACGAAAAATAAAAATAAGAATGTAATCAACAGCTCAATATAATCTTCATATTTTCTTCATGAAGCACAATGCATAATGTCACTAGGCCATAAATTTTATTTTTATCTTTATTTTTCCCATCTTGATTAGAGTGTATGTGTCCATAATCAAATATCCACCTGAAGTCAACATGAAGTGAAGTGAAACACCTGTTTCAAATGATACGATGAAGGCAAAGCAGGCAAAAAAGAAGCGAAATACTGAAGAAAATAAATTTTTATATTTTATTTATATGCAATAAAGTAATAAAGTTGAATAAAACACACAACGAATGAGAATATCTTCGCTTCTCCTCAACTCAACTTCTTTTCTTATATAAAAGCAGAGGAGAAAAAAAAGTTTCCATTGCAGACTTCATGTCGTTGTCGAAGGAACAAAGATATTCATTTATTAAGAGATTATTATATCGATAGCAATAAACGTATAACATACTCCACGGTATTTTTTTCAATAAAAATATTTTCAATGTAAAAATAAGGAGATTGCACATCTGAAAAAAAAAATATTAATTTTTAGCGCAGAGTTTATTGAAATTGAATGATGAACTTTATGACGCTTTAAGTGTTGATGATCAGTTGATTTGATGATTAATGCTTCTAATTCTAATAGCAAACTTCATTTTCTTGGTGAATTTACTTAAAATAATTAAATTTTTAATTAACGCGTTCTTGAAATTCGAAATAAAATAAAAATGGTGGCAACACGTGTTTCTCTCACCTCAAATTTTAATTTCATAAAAAATAATGTTTTAAAGTTGAAATTGTATAAACTTTTAGTCTTAATGAAACAAAAAAGATGGCAAAACACTAGAAATAAAAGATTCAGCATGCCAAAATCTGTAATATTCGTAAAAATAGCAAATCATAATCAGAACATTCTAATCTGAATGAAATCCAATTAATATTTAAATATTGACTCATAATTATGAATAGTTTAAAAAATCTCGTAGAGCTAAAAATACTACAAATATGACGATATTCGCGAGTAAGTTGCATCTTTATTAAATGAGATTTTCATTCAAATTAAATTGATCATGGAATCACCTCATGACAAAAATCTTGCTTTTTCACAACCGAACAGTGTGAAAAACATTAAAATTGCTAGTTTATCTGATGAAATCGAGCAAAAAATGACAAAATGTTTTGCATGTCTGAAACCTGCGCTCGAAAAGCTGCTAAGATTCATAATTAATAAATTGTTAATTAAAAAATTTATGTTTCAAAACATGCTGCTTTTTATAGCTGCAGGAAAAATTAAAATATCGTGCAAAAAACGAATTATTAATCTGAAATACAAATAAGATGTTCATTCCTTCAACAAGCAAAAGCAAAACAACAAAAAAAGAGTCGAGAAATTTATTGATATTGTTTTATTAATAAGAAAAATTTTTTATCCAAAAAATACAAATAAAAAATCATTGACTCGATTTTTTATGCCCATATTAAGGAGAAAAAAAGAAGATATTTTGAACTGATAAGAATCTTTCTTTCTCAATCTAAACACAAATTCCACAGTGTCTTCATCAGCATCATTAAAAATTAAAAAGAGTGGAGAATCTGACTTAGTAAGATATGTGTAGAGTCAGATGTAGAGATACAGAAGACAAGGGGTGATTATTATTGATTGATAAATTGATTTGCTAAGTTTTGAATTTTTAAGTTTTCAAAAAGAATTTAAAATTTAATTTTTAAAAAATATTATACATTAAAAAATAGTTGCTTCCAAATTTTGAATTCTTGAAATTTCGAAAAAAAAATTTACTTTCGATCTTCAAAAAAATTTTCAAAATTTGAGGAAAATTCAAATTTCGAAATTTGAGAAAATTATTTTTTTAAATCGAAAATCCTAATTTTCAATATACAAAATCTATTATTTCTCTATTAACACCCTAAATCCTTAGCCTCTATAACTAACCTAAAATATTGAGTATCCTCTCCTTCCTGACCACAAAAAAAAAACATTCGAAAACTTAACAAAATAATTAATCACATTTCATGATAATCTCGAATTTGGCATTATCATAAGTAAAAGATGAATATCCATAATGTTAGTACCCGTGATCCCAGTATGAATGTGAAATCCATCGCCTGCATAATTTTTAATAAAATTCTTATAAAAACTATATGAGTCATTCCTATAAATATAATCAGCCATCACATCAGATACATTCAAAGTCTTTTCATTCATATTTGATAAAATTTTTGTACCGCCAACAGCACCTGCAGCATCATTGTTACCATCGATGCCATCAGAACCAGCCGATAGAAATAATAAATCATCAAATTCCATCGATTTAGCATCATAACAATGCTTTGTAAAACGTAAAGCAAGTTCTTGATTTCTACCACCAAGCCCCTCATCACATCGCACATTAACAGTCGTTTCTCCGCCACTTATTATGCAAATTCCATTAATTGTTGTTTGATTTAACGCATTAATTAAATCAACATGAAAATTTGACTGCGCATGTAAGATCTCCAATACATGCTCAATTGATTTTAAAAATTCGTCACGCGATAACGTTGAATACATTTTAATACAACAAATAAGATCGAATAATGCCTTGCTAATATCAATGACATTTCCTTGAACCTCATGAGATAGAAAAACTGGCACCAAATTAAAAGTTTTTGCTTTATTCATCGCAGACTCTATCGCGATATGATTATTGGCGATAAGAAACACTTGAGAATTTTTATTTATCATCGATGGCACATCTTGATTGTCTTCATTCTTTTGTATCACATTTACTATAGATTGTGGTAATGTGCCCATGAGATTGTATTTCTCAAGGATTTTTATCGGTGATATTGCCGGTTTTTGATATGGAATTGTAGGTCCACTTGCTATTAACTCTAATGGATCGTTTATTATGTCAGAAATGATCAATGAAATTATTTTATGTACATTCCTTCCAATCTCCAATAACTTTCCGCCTTTTACTTGCGATATTGCTATTCTCACTATATTCAGTTCATTAATTGTTGCTCCTGCTCTTGACAGCTTTTTAATTAATGTCGATTTTTCATCAAGTGTTATTGGTGCGATAGGTAATGGAAGAAGAGCCGAACCACCGCCTGTTATAAGACATAGAAGAATGTCATCACTTGTTAAACTTGAAACGTGGTCTTTAATTGCTTCTGCTGCTTTCAATGCATCATTATCAGGCAGGTTTCCTGCTGCTCCTTCGTAAACTTTCAGTTTTGTTGTACTTGATAATGATTCGTGTTGTTGTGCTCCCACAGGAATGCTTAATATGCCTTTTTAAAATATCATGATTGGATTTGTATGTAACGGTTATATATAATTTGAATTGTTACCATCAGAAATGCGATTTCCCAAGACATGCTCGATTTCTGCCGCAATACCCAGGACACCTTTTCCAAATCCAACTGCAAGATTTTTAATTTCAAATTTTAGTTGACTGTTAAATAATTTATCTGAACAACTTAATTATATCATAATACAAATTATGATAAGAACACTTGTAATTATTAATTGTCATGAATTAAAGATAACACAATTTCGCGGCACTAACAATCACTTACCTATATGGACATTTTTATTGGTGATATCAAGTTGATAAGAATTGTTTTGATGATTTATCTCGATTAACTCTTTACTTCCACTAGTTATGTGTACAAGAAACTTATTTCCAGATATGAGAGTTCTTGGTTTAACAGCATCAACTGACGAATAGAAAATATTTTTCAAAACATCTTCCATTCTTAGATAACGACCTACACCTGTACAGTAGCACCGTGCTCCTTTGAAATTTAAAATTACACTGAGAATCTGTCTCATCCTGAACTTTTGTTTATTTACTCTTTTGCCTGACTTGTGAGTATTACCTTATGAAAGGTTGCTCATTCACAAATACATTCATACTTTTAAAGAATTGTGTCTTTGCTAGACCGTTAGACTGCATTTTAATAATTTTAATGGAAATTGTCTTGTATTTCTTATCATGACTAATTAATAATAAAATGCTTACAATTGTTAAGACACGGAAATTCCTTCATAATGCAATGCAATGTCAATATTAAAATGTAGTATGTAAATTATTGTGACTTCTTGACATTAAATGCATTATTAACAGTTGTGGAAAGATTTGTTTGGATCTAGTTGTGAAAATTATTGAACTTAGATCAAGCGACTGTAGATAGTATTGCTGGCAATTGATTTTTTCATTGACTTCTTCCTAAGAATGGCTTTTTCTTACTTTTTGAAACTTAAATTAATATTTTCATTTTTCTAGTCGGTTTAAGGATTCAAACTCACGTCCTTTAACTGGCAGAACCATGAAAAATTGATAAATTATTTTTGAAGGCAGCGACATGACTCTGTTTAGTTCTCAATAATTCTACTATATTTTATGCACTACAATTTGTCATTCCAACCATCGACTGCACAGCTATAAAACCTCCACATTACTGACAAACAAAAAGCTCTTTTCCTTAATAAAAAAAAAATCATAATTCATTTTAATTTATGTACTTAAGAATGATAAGACATTTCTTATAAATAAACTGTCATAATTCCAATTCATTTCAGTGTCATAAAGAATTTTCGCGTGAATATGAAAGTTTCAATCGCAATTGTTTTATTTGCTGCACTCGAATTATTTGTAGACTGTGCAGACATCAGACTTTTCGGTTGTAAAGTTACACAACCTGAGTGTCCTAATACAGACATTACGTTTTTCTTGTACACGAGAGACACTCAAGATGATCCAGTTCAGTTAGACTTGAGTGATCCAAGTTCAGTGATAAGAGCGAATTATGCCATAGACAGACCGTTAAAAGTGCTGATTCATGGCTTTACTGGCGACAAAGACTTTTCACCTAATTCACACTTACGACCTGCTTATTTTGAGCATGGTGACTACAACATAATATCAGTGGATTATAAGGAACTAGCTAAAAGTCCATGCTACCTTAGTGCAGTCAGAAACTTACAGACGGTCGCAAATTGTACAGCACAATTAATAAACTATTTTATTGATCAAAATATTTTTATTCTCGATGTTATCCACGTGATTGGATTCTCTTTAGGTGCACAGGTGGCTGGAATGGTTGCTAATTATATGCCTGAAGGAAGGAACCTAAGACGAATAACAGGTTGAACTGAAATAATTTGCATTTGAAAAATAATTAATTAATTCAAATTAATTCTTGCAGGATTAGACCCCGCCAAGGTTTGCAATTAACTTTCTGACATGAATAAAATAATTGGAGCTAATTTATTGTGTATGTGTTATGTCTTCCGCATGTGTTTAGCCATTGTTCATCAATGTTGGTAGTGACGGTCGAATTGATAGTTCAGATGCAGATTTTGTCGAGTAAGTTTGTTTATTTGAGACTTAAGTGACATGGAAGAGTACACTACAATAACTTCCATAATTTTTTATTTCAGCATAATTCACACAGACGTGTTTGACAGAGGCTTGCTTGTTCCACTAGGCGATGTAGATTATTATGTAAATGGAGGATTTAATCAACCTGGATGTTATGAACAAATAGAATTGTCACCAGGAAGTTGTAATCATGATCGAGCACCAACATACTATGCTGAATCAATAAACTCCGAAGAGGGATTTTGGGGATTTCAATGTGGTAAGCTAGAAAATAAATAATGGATGCAGTTGGGTCATTTGGGGATAGAACTCTGAAATACAAGAGTTTATGATGTAATTCTCATTTATTCAATCCAAAATTCATCCCATATTCCCCAGCTCACTGGTACCTCTACGTCCTTGGTGTCTGTCGAAAGGAAGACGATGATACACTCTCATTAATGGGAGAGTATGCCAATGACACGTAAGTTTAATTAACCAAATCAAACAATCTCAATTTGAGAAACAAATTTGATGCCGATCCCCACAAAAAAAAAATAACAAAATTAAATCAACTCACATATGATGCAATAGCTAACAATTAAAGAAAGTTAAGAGACCAAGGCATGCATTACGAATGTCGTTCATTCGCAAAAAAAAAACTAAAATCATGAACTAATTGAAAGATTTTCGAACGTGCATGAAAGTAAAAGTTACCCAAAAAAATAAGACTTGAGCTTGTGTGTTTACGAATTAAGTATTACGAAGTGCTGACATTAACAGCACTGGCTGTTTTTTTGTTTCTACTGATCTACTGAATTTTTTGTGTCTCGTGGATAAAATTATTGCCGAAGTCTTGATGCTCCTAGCGCTAAATCATTGTTTCATTGTTTTCAAATTAAAATTCTTAGCTGCTCTTTTTGCAGTTGAATTAAGTAATAATGAGTAGCTAATTACCTATGGCGGGTAAATTGTAAGGTCGTTTACTATAATTGCAGTTTTCTCCATTTGATTGAAACGTTTTATTGCATTTTATGCAAGAATTAATAACATCATTCTTAATTTCATATTCATTGCAGGTCAAGAGGCCTGTACTTCCTGAGTACACATAAAGAGAGTCCGTACGCACGTGGAAAAGACTTTTCTAGCAACAATTGGGCTTTCTCGAGTTGGTTTGCTGGCACAGATGTTGACAGAAATCAGATTTGAATCATCAATCATATTTAATTGAATTTAAGGCAGAGTTGAGAGAATGGGATGGTCAGTGATGCTCAGGAACTTGCGATATGGAAGCTTTACTATGCTTGCATACTTCTACTTGATTTTTGTGAAATATACAAGATTTATGAAACCAAATATACAAAAAGTTACTAAAATGATAAACAACCAGCAACAACCAGTAATCTCAAACTCTTTAAATCCATACCAAAGAGACAACAACGCATTCTGCAGAATTCAAACATTTTCACGTCACGTTTTATTTTCGTTACATTTAATACGGGAAACAAAGTCACAGATCTCTTTCATTCACCTTTTTACTCCGCTAGTTAAATTGGAACCGACTGTATTTCTTATTAAATTTATTGCCACTTTAAGTTATTGTTTTGACCACAATGTAGATTGTTAGAAAAAGATAAATAATGAAATAAAAGTAAATAATAACAATTAAGAAAGAAAAAAAAAGGTTCATTGGTTATATAATCGACAGAAGAAGAAGACAATGGCTTTAAAAATATGAAACTTTTGTCACTTGATTTTTACACACAATGCCGGTGATAAAAAATACAACGACGGAAGCTTTTTTAAACTTTTAGTGGTGATTGCTTTATGTTGACTTTTTTCTTATTGATTACCAATGGTCTTGACCTCAATTGATTTTATGTTTTCTTCAACTTGACTTTTTGGAGACTGTAATTGAGACCTGATTGGTAATTTTTCATTAAATCGATTGCTCAATACTGAAAATTATAAATATTTACAATGCTTTAGTGCTCAGGTACCTAAGTGTTGCAGTATGAGCTATACAATACCAGGTTCGAGACACAACTAGTATAATGTGAACTTTTGGGAATTGTAATCAATGCAAAGCATTTAAAATCTGGAACTTTATGAGTCACCCACCTACAATCATTTAAATCCGCAATGAATATCACAAAAAATAAATTACGTATGCATTTTTGTGTCCAAAAGCAACAATCTCTTTTTTGTGCTTCCACAAAAATTAAGCAAATCCGATCACAAACCCCAAAAATCTATCAGCATCAAACTATAAATTAAATCTACGTCTAAGTCACATCTAATCAATGCACACAGATCTTAAATCTTCCTAACACTGATTATGTCAGTGAGAATCATCTGTAAGCTTGCATGATGACATTGCAATTGAAAGTAAGTCTAACATTATGAAAATGGAAATAAAAGTGAAAATTTTTCACAAGCATTTGTGGATGTTGTTAAATGATATCTCATTGTTTATGCACAATCGGCTCATGTTCGAAAAAAAAAAGTTTTTATAATTGTCGATTATGCTTTGGTTGGATATAATCGCATTAGGATGATGAATGGCAATTGAAATAAAATGAGATGTCATTAAAATCACGATCATTTTGAGGAAATTACATGACATTCTACATGATTAATGTGAAATTTCTTCAGATTAAAAAATTATCGTGTATGCAAAGGCTTATCTTGAGCATGGGGAGGAATAAGAAAACATGTCGATGTACTTAGCATAATTTTCGCAATTTTAAAAACCATAAAACTCTTATGACAAATATCGTTGGGTGGTAACCTTTCTGTGGTGATTTCGGTGATTTCAAGAAAATAAAAAAATTATGCTGGAATGTGTAATAAACATTGTAGGAAATCTGTCAAGCTGTAAGTTTACGATTAGCAATTAACTTAATGAAAAATTGCATTTGTTGAGTAACATGCAATAACAAAATGTTTTTTTTTTGCGCTATAAACTGAGACGTTGTTGCAACTTTATGAGTTGGCAATGTTTTTATGTCAGAAGATGGTCTTGATACTAATATTTTTGAGATACACTGGTATGCTGTAGAATTGCAAAAAAATATTTGGTAAATTCAGTTCAGAGATTGATTTTTGAACAACAATTAATGACAATTTCTCAAAGTTCAAACTAGACTCGGCATAAACAAAATTAAATAACTTTAAAGTTTACGGCAGATACATAAATGCAGTTTAATAATCATTTTCAATCAGAAGGGCATAGCTACGCAATTTAAAAGCAATCATTGCAGTTTAACCTTTGAAGCCAATCAATAAACTTCGCCTTCGCATAATGTGCTTATAACTTTAATTCTTTATGGTGATTATTAATGATTATTAAGTTTGATGAGTTGTTCTTTTATCTTCCAAAGTTTTCTATATAAGAGCTTTCAGACCCAAACCAAATTCCAACATTAGACAAAATATAAAATTGATGAAGAAGTTTTAACCACCTTCCATCTTGGCGAACAGTCTGTGACTTACGTCTAGGTCATCATCATTACTTAAATCAAGTCCAGGAACTTAAATTCAAACAAATCAACTTTGCTTAAATTACATTTTGGATTTACAATAAATCCTTGCCAGTAAAGTAACTTTTACACTATATATATCTTTATTCCCTCAGGCTATTGACCTTGAAGTTCAATAATCTTCATAAACAAATAACAAAACTAAGGGGCCGTTCACCTATGACGTCCAGGGGGGGGGGGGGGGGGGGGTCAGCAAGAAAAGAACAATAGAAATTCCTTGAAATTCATTGTTCTTTTATGAAAAATGACCGTTAAATTCGGACTTCATAAGTGAACGACCCCTAATTTGTTATTAATGAAAAAATTCCTAAGGTCCATAAAAACAGTTTACAAGGCTATAACTTACAATCCTTCAATCTCAAGTTATCAACAAACAAAAAACGTCCTTAGCTACCTACAGTTTCATTGTCCATTACCAACAAATGATAAGTTTTGAAATAACTGGATCAAATATTAAAATTAATTCAACATTTTTGCGCAACTCTTCTTACTTGCTTAGTATTTTTATGTTTATTGGAATGTGTAACTATTCAATGTGAAATAATTAATAATTTTTTTCTTCTCCAACAGCCAAACACATGCAATTTTATGTCTCTATTACTGTCCAGCTCAATAAATTGGACCTTGCACTGAAAAGTTTTTTATTTTGGCAATTTAAAGTCTTTATTTTGAAAATTCCTTACAATTTCATGTTTAAGCTAAATATTCAGGAAGAAAAAGTGCGAAATTGACTAATTTAACAACCCAATACATCCACATCAAGTTCAATATGCACATTCTTCAAGCTACTTCAACAAAAATAAAATAAAAAAGATAAAAAACATTCAAAAAAAAACGCAACGAAAAAGAAATGTTGCACAGCTCAAAGACAAGCAACAAGAAGAAACACAGCCACAATAAAAACGAATGTTTCAAGTTGCAAGCGAAAAAATTATTACTTAAGTTTTTAGTCTACATCAAACCAGCCGCGCGTTAACATCGAAGAAAAAAGTATCTGGACGGGGTAAAAAATAAAAATAAAATTTAAACGAAAGTTAAAAAAAAAATTAACCGTTTGGAAGTAAACAGATACGTGAGACAAGGTGCTTGAAAGATCGTTGAAAGTGAAAACTTCCAATAAGTTCACGTGTAAAACTGGTTTCTGTTAAGATTCAAAGAAAAAAAAAATAGTGTATATATAGTGCAATTTAATGCAATTATTGTAGCAAAACAAAAAAAATCCACAACACATAGAAATAAATTATTATGATTTTAAGTTGATATAAAGCCATGAAAATGAAGAATTTTCTCGAAGTATTCACTCTTCTGTTATTATTTAATTCGGTGAAAGGTAAATACAACTATTTTTTTTGGTACAATATTGAGTAATATTTTTGAGCGTGATAAATAGTTGCATTGTTTGGAACGGAACAAGAAGCGTGCCGTCAATTTCCTCCACTTCCAACTTTTTTCTCTGCCTCTATCTAATTTCCGAATAAAAAGTCGTGAAACAATGAATGTCAAAGAAATGGTAAAAGTCTCGGATTATGTAAATTTGCATCGACATCTTTGAACTTTAAAAATTATTAATGACTCTTTTTTTTTTGAATGTCACTTTTATTAAATTAAGCTGTTTGATTAACTGGTACAACAAAAGAGAGTGCTTGTCAGAAATACTCAACATATTGGATTATGTATGTTGTCTGTGAAGTTAACTGTGGTCCAACATGTTTTTGTCTGAGGTCTGAGGTTAAGACTTTTCTGATTATGAAGTTGTTTTTAATTTTATTGAAAAGATTCGTCAAATCGGTAAAACTGCATTCATATTTTGTGTCTCACAGTTCATTCATGATCCAAAATGAACACATTCAAGATTTTAAACAAGTTTTGTTTGTATAGAAATTTTCCCGCCAAAAATGTAAAAATCAAATGGACTCAACCCCTTGATTAAGAAAAATCACTCTATTTATAGATTCACGCACTTCAAAAACCCACAAATTAACTACAAAATCTCCATTTTCCGCATTATCAAATACATCGATCAACCTGAATAAAATGCAATTAATTTTAATAGCTTTACAATATGATGTAATGCCTGCTCGCTTTAATAAATACGACTAAATTGTGACTAATCTGCATTAATCAATTTACCTAAATTGTGTTAAATTAAAATTAGAATATGATAGACGAAGTGTAAACAAAAATCTCATTATTTAATTGACGTAGTCAGCAAGACGTTAGCTGTCAATGTCAAGCATAGAATCTGATTATTTCTGTATGATTAAAACTGATCTTGATCTTTAAGTTACGTCATAATTTCAAGAAACTTGATAATTGACAATTTTTATGCAAAAATCTCGGCACGGCTATAAGGCAGTGATCAAGTTTTTAGTGAACTGAAAGGCTTTTTTACAGTTTCGAAAGGATTGAATGTTGAGTTTTTTAACGATAATGACGTCTTAATTACTCAAATTTGCATACAAGTGTGACTGGTTATTAAATTTTATAAATTTTAAGCTTTGCCCAAAGCAACTGGAAATAAAAGTTTGAGTGATAAACTTTTATTGTCGTCAAAGACGTGTTAAGTTTGAGAATTAATTTCAAAAGACTTCATTTATTTGAGAAAGATATTTATTGAATGAATTTTGGGGTTGTTGACTGACGACTCATCAACAGAATTGCTATTTTATACTAAACTTGAAGTTCTGAATCATTAAGTCAATAACATAATCCTTCGGAACTTCAAAACAATCCAAATCATGGCAATAAATCTTTAAAATATCCAACAGCAAATTTATGGAAATGCTTTTATGCATTTAATATGAACGATGAGCCACAGTAACCCAATAAGTATTCAAGCCAGTTATGCATGAGCTGTAACAGGATTAAAATAAAAATTATTAATAGACAAAAATATTGAATAATTCATAGACATATGCAGTCTTACTTCTTCTATTGTATCTCTATTGTATCTTATTAAATTGGCGTCAGTAAATTAAGGAGACTGTGATGTTGGAGTTTTGACAAATTGGCAACACTGAGGTGCTTCAAATTTTGATTACTTCAAGCTCATTAAATTTGATTCAGCATCACTTTTTTGCTTCACTTTTAAAGGTCAGCTTAAGCCAACAGCGATGTATCATAGAAAATTCATCAATTAAATTACACAACGCAGTCCAAACCCTCCACAGCTTATCTAATCACTTACTTTCAATTTCATTTATTAGATTTTTTTATTAAATAATAGCGAGTGTTATAGTAACTGACAGGAAACATTGACTGTATGGTTGCAATTTATTTTCTAAGTGATATGATAAATGATGCTTCCACAGCCTTAACTTTTAACATTTGATTTCAATTGCTGACTTCAAATTATTCAGGCTCACAACTTATGATTCAATATATTGAGTAACAAAGAGCTTACACCCCTTGAAGTCAATAATGTCCGAGTCATTGCTTAGTAATCCGCTCAATAAACAATTAGGATTTTCCATCCTTTTTAACAAAATAGAAAGTCTTGTTACGAAATTTTGCCAGTGTCGCCTTATTAGTTTAGCTGTGAATAAGCTTAAATATCAAAGTTCAAAAATTGCACCTCCTTAACATCATTTTTATGATTCTTAATAAATTGTGTGTGAAAATCAGCAGGTTGTCAGGTGCTTAGCATGTCTTGTTATAGATTTCAAAATTAAATGCAATTGATGAGACCGGGTCTTAACTAACATGCTTAGAAATCTACGCATATTCTAATAAAAAACAAATATGAATTGATGTACTTGAAGCTCAACACTTTTGTCCATTGTAAAAGCCGCAAAAAACTACCGATCGATTACTTAATTGATTTTGATTCACTTTAAAAGCTAAAAATAACTTCCTATATATCCATTATATGCATATTAATTTGAAAGAAAATCATTCAATCATTGATCTTATCCGACAAATTGTGTAATAATCATTCACTAATTTCCCTGACCTCGATATTATGCATAACAATTAGATCATCAAATGCTTCCATAAAATGTTTCTCGATCACATGAAAAATGTTTATTACCTCTTCTTCTTTTGTTATCATCATGTTCACGAAATAGACGAACAAAAAACCAAAAAAGCATGAAAATGTTTCAATTTGTGTAAAGCACAATAAGCTTCCATAACATCATCAATCAATTTTAGTAACATGTTATTCAATCATAAATTTATTAAAACCTAACGTGAATGAATTAAGCACATTTTGCACATACCATTTTTCTTTTCACCACCATGCAGCATGACTGTGTGTAATTGAAGATCATAAGATTACGCTGCATCATACCTTATGACTTAATCTATTAGACATTAAGTCAAAGAATTTTTTAACGCATTGTTATAGGTTGAATATTCACCAGACCGTAAAGGTTACAATCTCTTTGGCTGTACGTTATTTGAGGAGAAATGTGTTGAATTTTGTGGATTGTCGGTCTTTTGGTTTGTTTGGCTTGTTTATTAAGATAAACATCAAACAAGATTGACCCTTTTCGATAAAACATCCCCCTATCTTTTGATCACCAAACTTTTATTGATTCAACTACAAATTTTGAAACTTTATTGGCGCCATATTGACATGTAAATAAAGTCTGATTGAAATCTCGATTAATTTAAATATAGAGCAAATGAATCATATGTCTACAACGTATTGCAACAGGATCCTCGCATGAATAACATGCTAATGAGCCGTCTATTCAATTTGAAATGCATGTGAATTTCCAATCTCAATTATCTTTGTGATCAAATATTTTGCAAGTAATATTGAAAGCTATGCCTTGTATTGGGGTCATTAATAAATGATGTCTTATATAATCCAAGAATAGGAGGTCGCTGCAGTGACACTTGTGGGAGTAAAGGGAGTGCCTATTATTCCCATTATTTAATAGCCGTCATTTATGAACGACCCCCTTACTAAAGCATTAACACATTAAATTCATCTAAAAGATTCCAAAAGAAGAATCGATTACATCAACCTTTCTTACTTGCTGCCTTACATTCGTCTCTTTTCCGTTTCGTACAACAGCAAAATCAGCTGAATTTGTTACTAGTGAAAGTTTTTCATTCCTCATTGATGTTATTGCCATATAAAATTCATTGTTGAATGTTTTTTATCATTATGTGCTGCGTCTGAATTGTTTCTTCTCCTCTTCTTTTCTCTATTTTGCTGTGGGTTATGGTTGTTTTTAGCTGATATCTTCAGTTATTATGGATTATAACATAATTTTTAATGACTAGCGATCGACTGTGCATGCATAAATGAATTAACGTAATACTTTGCATGCTTATAATTCTTACTTTTAAACTTTATATGTCGTTTAATTGTTGTCTTACGTGCATGGGTGGAAATTTTTGTGTTCCGCGTGCCTGAACATCCATCAATATTCTACCACAGTACGTCTCATTTAATCTATCACGTTTTCGTTAACGACATAAAACAATTTATGCTCGAAAAAAAAAAAAGAAAAAGTGTCAATTTATGTAAATTATACCTTGAAATATTTTACGGAACAGTATGTGAAAGTACAATGACTTTATTCGTGATGCAAATTAATTTTTCAACTCGATGATATTGGCAAATGATCAATAAATGCTGTTGCTGTTGCCTTAGGTCAAGTGCGAGGTCGGAAGAATTTGCTTGAATTTCACTAGATTTATGTTTCTGTTTTGTGCTTGTTGCAACTTACGCATGATTTCTTAAATCCAAAACCTAAATTACCTAATTCAGCTCATAAAAATAAATTCAATTCCAATTATCATTAATTTTCAATCTCTCAAGGTCCCCAACACATTAAAAATCACACTCTAATTACATTCCACAGCACAAGCTGACAACCAAAATGTCTACAATACCACATCATGTATAGAAAAGCCATATCGTTGTCCACATCCAAAAATTAAATTTTACCTTTATACGAGGCATACGCAAGAATTTGGGGAGGAGATAAATGTCCTCGATCATGAAAGCCTTTGGAATTCACATTGGAATCCAGAGCATCCAGTCAAAGTAATAATTCATGGTAAGCATCACAATTGTTGATTTTTAAGACATATATTTATTTATTGGCATTTCAAGGCTTCGGTGGAGGACGAAATTTGACACCAAGTCCTGATTTGAGGAATGCATATTTCTCAGTCGGTGACTACAATATTTTAATTGTTGATTACGGACCAGCTGTTAAAGAGCCGTGCCTAAATCAAATTGAGTGGGGACCACGATTTGCAAGTTTATGTATAGCTCAATTGATTAAATATATTGCACATCATCCTAGAGGGATAGCTCCAGACTATATGCACGTAAGTTGATTTAAATTTGGGGTTCTTGAATGCTCTATATTTGGACACTTCATTTTAAATGCAAAAGTATAAATTCATATTTCGATTAAGAGTTATTGAGACGTTTCATTTTATAAGTTCAGTTTATAGGTTACTCTGTAGGTGCTCATTTAGGTAAGTTTACATACTTCTTTTTAAAGAATCTAACTTTGTTGATCAGTTTCTTGAATTATCTTGAAAAACTTACAATCTTAAAAGGTTCTTTTAAATTCACATGAGAAACTATAAATCTTGTTTTCCAAACTTATTCACATTAAGCTTCAATGTCTTCTAGTTTCAATGCTAATTCCATTTCTTTTAATACAGCTGGTTTAGTATCAAACTACATCAAACCATCAGAAGGCAAAATTGGAAGAATTACAGGTCTAGATCCAACAATCTTCGTGTATGCTGGATCGAATAATTCAAGAGATTTAGATCCAAGTGATGTAAGTCATTCTTTTAAATTCCTAAACTTTTCAAAACCTTTTTAAAAATATTATTTCAGGCACATTTCGTTGATATTTTACACAGTGCTGCTGGAATCCTAGGACAATGGTAAGATGATATAAATATCCCAAGGTTTGTACATTTTATGACTATCCGAATTTCCCAGGCACACTAGTGGACATGCAGACTTTTACATAAATGGTGGAACTTCTCAGCCAGGCTGCTCTAGTTCAACAATATTTCAAACACTTGCATGTGGTAAATTTATTGCAACTCATATGTCATAAAAACAGTTCAATATATTTTATATCCAACCAGATCACACACGAGTAACGCCATTATTTATTGAAAGTATTACATCCTCGAAAGGATTCTTTGCTGGTCCATGTAATAATTTATTCTCATATCTACTTGGATGGTGTGAGCCGAAGGACAATGATTTAGTTCTTATGGGTGAACACTGCTCGTGGAAGTAAGTTTTGGGTCATTAAATTTAAAATATCCGAGAATTACTTTTGAAATCTATTTGCAGAGCACGAGGAGTCTATTATGTAACGACAAACGCAAAAGCACCATATGCACGAGGTTACCCAGGGTAAGGAAAAAGACATGCGCATCAAAAGCAAGAAGTTAATTACCTGTCTGTATTATGTGTTACAGTAAAAATCGTAGACAGACACGAAATAATGGACGTAATGCCATCACAGATTCATACGGGGGTTTAAGGAAATAATTCAGTCATTGAAAAAGTCAATTTTTTTTTCATCCCAGCACCACGTCATGTAAATATGTAACAAAATAGACAACAACAAAATATCTCAGAATTAACATTATTTAAATCAACGTCATCAAAAAAAACCTTTATTTTCTATAAGTCATGTCCTCATTTTTCTCAAAATGGCATTTTTGTATATTCTTTTTCATTACGAAAAATTAAAAGTAATAAAAATGAAAAGATTTTTAATTTTACCTTATTGGTTTGTGAAATTTAGTTTTTGAATATTTTCGTGTGGTTAATAATTGAATTTGCAGCATAATTAAAGCAAAAGTCGTGATATAATTATAATGCAATTAACGCATTTCAATAAAATTGAGGTTAAGCTACTCAGTGTAGCCATCAGGACATGTCACATTAGTCATTCTCTTAAATCTTTAAACTATCATAGCGACGAGACATTAACGTTTATCCAGATTGGGTCAATCATATTATTTTAATATTTTATATTTATAAAATGGGAAACTAAGTTTTTAAGCAGAATTTAATATTCACATAGTCCAGGGGTTTCGATAAAATGACCAATATCTAAACTGATTTTCAGTTAAAAGTATTTTTCAAACAAGAATTTTGGAAAAAAAATTCAAAATTAATAAATAACGGTTTTTACTCATTCAACTCCCCTGCCTTAAAGCGAATATTAAAGTATTCACCAGAAAATCAGTAAACACTTTCATTCCCAAAAATATGCGATGACGATATTACGATTGTATCTGTGTCATATTTGCAATGCGATATTCACGGTCAAGGAAAGTTGCTGAAAGAGGTGCTAATTGCTAGCTGTATATTTCTTCACTCAAAAGAAAGTAAGACTTCGTTATTGCAGATTTTTAATAATCATTAGGTGCCAAAAAATATGATTTTATAATTTTCCGGAAGTTCAACGAGACTTTTTCGAGGTCATTGAATGAAATTTTGATATCATCAATAAGATTTTATTATAGCTGACGATTAAATATGTTAAACTTGACACCAAAAACATCTCAAATTTGCATAATGATAGTGGACAATTTTTGTGTCAAATCGCGTTTGTGTCACTTTCTGAGAGTGAGAGGCTCGATTCGCTTTGATGACAATTTTTGGAAATCGATCTGATATGCATCGAAGGCATTTTCGATCTAAAACTTACCAGAGAAATTATTTTGCTTTCTTGAATTTGGCGACAATTGGAAAGGATGATTTGCATAATATTTTGGTCGTCTGCCATAAACCTGTAAACTAATTTTGGGGTTATTCATAAATGGCTTTCAAAATTTAAGTATGGGAGGATCTGGACTTCCAATAAAAGATGCCTTGGATATCCTTAGAAAATAAAATATATATTTATAAAAACTCATTTAAATCTTCACTTTCAACATATTTTATGTCATCATTTTATTAGGTCTGTTGTGGTTGTTCTCACTAATTATTTACTACAACCTCACCACGATTGTTTTTCAGATCTAAAAATTTTATTCATATAGTTTTTCGTTCTCTATTTTTTACTTTTTTTAAATATAGTAGATTATGATATTTTTTATATTTTTGTCTCAATATTATAATTCTTATAATTTTATCTTCTTTCTCTCATTTTAAACTGCGATTATAATCTTTGTTTTGGATATTATATTGAGCTGCTAGATTTTGCTTCTTTGCTAGATTATCATGAATAACATATCATGCTATGTGTGTCTTTTAATGATTTTTTTGCATGACGTAAATGTTTTTATTGCAATTTTATAATTCCTTGTTTAATTAACTTCACCACAATGCATGAACAAATTTTTTAATTTTCATTGATAATACAATTAATGTTATATGAAAAAAATGACTAGAAGTCTCAAAATACGTCTTTTTGTGCAATTACATTGATAATGAAAATGTTATGAAGTTTATTAAATTTTTCTTTAAATAGTTTTTATAAAACGTATGTACAATTTGAGTTTTAGCCATTGCATAATGAAATTTATGAGGCGTGAATGACATTATGCAATGATTTTAAATTTTGAGAGCTTGAATTTTAGGTAAATTTTATGGATTTTAGAAGAAATAGTTGAAATTGATTGATAAACTTTATTTTGCTGATTTATGGATCTTTATTTGCTTACAGTTGAACTTAATTTTTGTAAATTAGAGATTAATATATTAGAGAAGCTCCTAGATTCATTAAATTGAATGTTTAAAGTAGAATCAATTTAAAAAGGTCAATTTAACAAAATAAAGAATTGTTTAAACGAAGTTACAGGCCCCTAATTTCGACCACGGGGCCAGCAACTTCTTCTTCTTTCAAAGATTTGAAATTTAATGCAACAAAATCATTTAAATCTGCGTTAAATAATCTTAATAAGACTTAGTTTATTAATAAATCAAAACCTTTAAAGACCTTGCAAGAAACTAGTGAAAATTAACTTAATGAATCTATAAATTCAGCAAAAATTAATAATTTGCAAACAACTTCAACAAATTCAACATAAATTCAAAAACTGCCACTATCCAAGCCCTAAAATCCCTAATATATTTATTTTATATAATTTCGATTTAATGTTTAATATACCACGCGTCTTTTGCTGGATTTTTTTTTGCAATCTTAAAAATCCGAAAAAATACAGTCTGCTAAATAATAAATTCAAACTCCTTTTCTGTGATTTCATTTTCTATGAAAAAATGAGTTTGCATGTATATTTGTATGCATATACAGGAAGGAAGTACTATCAGTAAGGGAGGGCGAATAATTTTTGTATGTCACCCTTTTTATTCGTAATTAATGTGTATAATCTAATATTATCTAATAAATGATTTTATATATTTGGTAATTTTTCTGTGTTTTTTTTTCGGTAAATAGTGCAAATGCTGTGCACATAATAAAGTAATACATAAGTATAGTAATTGAAAGTAGGAAGTAGGTGCATTAAATATGTGCAGAAAAGAAGCAACAGTGATAGACATTTAATTTTTAGTGCATTGTTTCATTTTTTTGTGTAACATTCATGCATAAATAGAATCAAAATTTTTTTATAATTTTTTTTTCTTCATTCAATTTTCTTTCATTTTTAAATAACTCGAATTATATTAATATTACTGTAGAGATATGCAGTTTCAATATTGTTTTCTTCTTTCTATAAGATTTGCTTTTGTTCAGCAGGGTTTGGGAATTGAGTGATCTTGATTTTTCTTAAAATATTGCTATTGCTAGTTCGGATCGTTCAGCTAATTTTAGCAAATTCAGATAATTTCTGTCATTTCAGCTAAATTCAGATAATTCAACTGAATTCAGCCAATTATTCTGAATTCAATCAATTAAGCTGGGTTTAGGTTATTAAATTCGATATCGAACCCATTCGCTTCCATTCCCTGCCAATTTGGATGAAAATTTTACAAATACAAAAGAAAGTTTCAAATATATATATCAACAACAGAGACAATGGAATAATGAGTATTGGTTCAAGAGATTTATAGAAAACATAACTGTCATGCAATATTCATGCAATAGGTTATGTCTCTCTCTTTCTTGGATTAAAAACCACAACTGATTACTAAACACTGTCTCGACGAGATTGTTTTGATGATATTCATGGTTGTTGGCTTTTGTTAAATCTTTAAATAGAATATATTCTTTAATAACATGTCAAATAAATATTTTTAAATGTTGCAAAATGAAAAAAGTTCGCGAAAATTTCTTAACATAAAATTAGTCGCGCTAATTAATTTAATACTAGAGACTTAATTACTTTTATTATTTTTTTCAATTATTGTATCATGTCACATTGTTTTTCTTTTATTCATTACCGAACCAACATTTATAATTGGCTGCGAATAATTTATTAAGAATAAAACTTAAAAAGTGCAAAAAATAAAATTAAAAATAATTCTAGGTGCAAAATTTACACGACATGTGCATTCAAGGAACATTAATTCAATTAACTTATCATTTAATGCACATGTTGTGCACATTTTAATTCTAATTCTAAGTGCATTCTATTCTAATTTTTATTATATTGTGCATTATCATTAATTATTGTCAACACAGCCTTTTGAGGGTGATGAAACACCTCAAAAAAATTTTCATTTTTTTTCGCGCCATTTTCCTTATTGGATGTACGCATATTTGATTTTTTAAAGAAAAGAGCAACGAAGATTTATGAGTAAAGAAAAGATATGAAAATAAGACTAAGAAGAAGTGCTTATTGTTTCTATAATCTTGAGTGGATTCAGCTTATTATTAATTTTTGCTGAATTTTGCTTGAGATTTTTAAAAATTTGGCGACTTTTCTCAGTTTTTGTGCAATTGTTCATTCTGTTCTGTATGTTGATAGCTAGATACGCTAACGTTTTGGTGAATTTGATCAATTTAAAAAGATTTGAATAGTTTAAGAAATTTTTAAAGTAATTTTTGATTATGAAAGATCCATGAGATCCATGAACTTTTAAGTTGTAGTATTTACCAATTTTATTAGAGTCTGACAAGTGCATTAAAACAAAAGGAGGCTGGCATGATTTATTCAAATGAGTTTATAGTCTAGGATAGTTCTGGTACTTGAAAATCGAGAATCCAAGTCACTTAAGTTAAAAGTGATCTTAATTTACAAACTTCTTGTATTTTTTAGGAATTTTGATCAATTTGAAAGCAGATCTCTCAAAATAACTCTTACCTGAGGGCATTATCTTGAATCTCAGAGTGTATTTTAGGGAATCTCTTAAGGTAAGACTTTATTTCAAAAGAATCCACTTCTATAATAGCAACCAAAAAGTTGGCTGTGCTAGCTCAACATACAGTAACTTATAGTGCAAAAATTATTATGAACTTAAATTTAAAAATAGTTTTGACACAACTTTTCATATTCGATGTAAATTTAAACTGTTAGTTTTTCTCTCTGATCAGAAATTGATGTCGATTAATTGACTACAATTGCCATTTAAAAGATCAACCAACCAGAAAAGTCATGCAAACCTTACAAAAGTAATTCATTGCATTATTAAAATTCTACTAAAAAATTGAACCTTAACCAAAATGCATCTATTAATTACTAAAACAACTTGTGCATAACACGACAATTAACAAAGTGCAATCAACAGTGCAATTAGTGCAATCTACAAATAAAATTTTAATACTGATGTGGAATATTATTTGAATAAATCTTCATGTCATTTTTATTACACGATGCCCGACCATATTATTATTTTTGAAAAATTAAATTCCAAATTTCCTCATTTCTTGACTTTACAATTTACAAAATATTCGTCATGGATTAAAAAACTTAACGTGTGAGTGGTGATGTGGAAAAGGAAAATTAAAATGAAAAACAAATATCAAAAAACAGTTCAAATTCAGGTTAATCATGACAATTGTCGTCATTTTCACCCGAATTCTTTTGCTTAGTATTTAAATTGTTCTAAACCTCAATTTTAAATTGACTCTTTTAGTTCTTTCATCGAAATTATTTTTAAATTTACAGTGTTATTATTTTTTTGCCATTTTTATTATTATTCATTATCATTTAAAATTATTTTATTCGACGGTGAGGCTAAGTTAAACATCTCCATTCTGTATTTAATTACGGTTTTTTGTTATACAAGATTTGATTGTATTTGATGATTAGAAATTTCGGGGATAGACATACAATTTTCTTGAATTTTAGTGCCTTCTTGTTAACAACTGCAATTTATTAAATTATTTACAAAATACAGGAGAGATTAATCAATTTTAATAACACATTAATTTTTTCTTATTGATTTTCCATTTTTTTTTAAATACCCAGAACAAATGAGAACTAGCTAACACACTTGAATTGTTCATTTAAATATACCTTTAAATTGCTTAAGCTTAAAGTATCAGTGTGATAATTTATTATATGAGCTATAAATTTAATTAACGACATTGTTTTTATGAAATATTTACATTAAACATAAAATCATTGTTCAAGTTTACTCGACGGCTTTTAGGTGCCAACAGAAAAAATCAAAGATGAAAGATTATAAATCAACAAAAATTTTAAATATGATTTGGAAGAAGTTGTTTCAATGTTTATGAACTATTTTAAATTTAAGCTTTGATGTAAGATTCAAATCTTTAAAAGTGATTGATTTCATTTATAACGGATATTGTGAATATGGAATGTTTCAAAAATAAGTAAAATTTTCGCTAAACGCACTCAATAAGCACAAAAAAGATAATTTTGAAATAAAAATGTCTTATTTTAATAAAATCAAACATAATTAATTCAATTTTGAATTAAGTTCAATTACTAAACAAATTACCACAATTTCAAAATTAATTCAAATTTGTTATGTCTTGCCATCAATAACCTTCAAAAAGTGTAAACTAAGTCAAAATTCTTATGTAAGAAATCTTTAATTGAACTTCAATCTCCAAAACAATAATCGAACTCACACTTCCAAAAGCTCAAAATAAGAAGAATTCATAGACATTGAAACTATTCAATGAATTTTCGATCACATAGATTAGGCATTTGTAGTTCACGATTTTCATTCAATATTTTGAACACACTCGTATTGTTTTTCATCATCAGCTCATTATCAAAGTTTCACTTCATGCTTCACGCATCTTTTTAATAATTATTGGTGTTGTTAACATAAACAATTAACTTAAATTAATCTAAACTCATATGTAACTGTCAATTGATAATAATTTTCATTCTATCTAAGTCAGATTCTCATTATTATTAATTAAACTTTTTAGTATTGATTAAATCCACGTTCATCTGCGGTTCCATGCATGTAAGAGTCAGTCGCATAAGGTTGTACAGGCGCTGCTGGCATAATATTTTGTGCAAATGGATTGCCAACAACAGGTGGAGGTGGAGCTGCGGCAAAAGGATTTCCTGCAACGTGCTCAGTAGCTCCATATGAAGCCACATTCGTATGATTAATTTGCATGTTTATTGCATTTGGATCATTCTGTAAAAGATTAGAACTAAGCAATACATTTCTAGAATAATTATTGTTGAACTTACAAATGATGTCTCTATGACGGCACCAGCAGACACTGGATCCCAAGCCTTTTGCTCTTCTAATGTTGGCTCAGCCCATGACTGCAGCTCTCCAGAAGCAAATATACCATAGAATGTTATTCCTGTTAAATGAACACATGCGGCTATCGTAAAGACTGTCGTCCAACAACTTTTATCTCTCTGTAAAGAATTAATCAAAATAATACAGAAATGAGAAAAGTGGAAACATAAAAAATGACTTTGATGGTAGTCAGTCAATTTCATTGAGAGAATAGAAGCATTAATAAAAGTTAATAAAACGCATTATTCATCTCCTATCAAACATATTACAAGCTCTTCATTCCTTTTTAAGTTTAGTCGTGCGTAACAGAGTGTGAATATTGTAGTGTTAGCAACGGTGTCGGATATTTTTCAATACCTTTCCGTATATCCACCCTCGTTCATGCATTAACTTTAAATGTTCTATGGTTAGGGATTCTTATATAAATTCTTGATGCCATGAGTCGAGCTTCAGTGATTTTTTAGCCCCTAAATCTTCTCCATCTAGTCACATTCACAATTACATAAAGTAGATCTTTCATAAAAATGAGAAAATCTGTCTCGCTACTCAAAAATAGCATGTCATAAATACCTTTTTCCTACCCCCACCTAACATTTCATTCAAAATATATATCTCAATGGAAACTGAGTGTATAAATTAATATTGTGCTGCATCAACGATTTTTAAAATAAGTAAAAAATATTTTTTGACGTCATAAAACAAAGTTGTTGATGCGTACGGCGAGGGTGGAAAACAAAGTGTAATTTGTATGAGACATGGAAAATGTAATAATTTTTGACTGCTAAAGAGCTCACATCAGGAGATGAGAATGAGTTTCTTCTTTTTTGCAGCGTGCTATTGTCGAAAATCACACAACCATGAAACATCATCAATTTTATTTTTAATGGATAGACGATGAAAATTTAATTTTTTTGCTTTGGAGGAGATGGAGAGCTCTTATTGTTCTTATGAATTTATGTGAAAAGGCTGATAATAAATTATGATATTAATGTCTTACCTGATCACTCGTTAAGTAGTCAATAGCTATGGGACAGAGAAGACCTGCTATCGTTCCAATTCCATTTGACAATCCCATTAAAATACTAGCGTATCTCGGTGCAATATCTAAATGATTCACATTGTAGCCCGATATGGCAAATCCACTGAATGCAACACCGAATGTCAGTGCTGTTACGGCGCCTGACTGGTTTAACAATTAAGTTAGAGATATAATAGATAATTAATTATAATTGGAACTTACACCAGTAGTTGCATGAGCTACAAAAAGGAAAAATAATCCTTCGAGTCCAAATCCGCCACAGTTGAATAATTTTCGTACATTTGTTGTTGACATTATACCATTCTTGCGCAAATGATCAGCCAACATTCCGCCTAATGGTACAATTATGGTCATCAGCAAATGGGGCAATGCACCGAGAATACCAGCCTGGAATAAGATAATAAATTTTAGGATATATCCTCAACAAATGTGGCAAGATCTACTCACTTCAGCAATTTTATACTCAAACTTATGTTTCAAATATTTGCTTTGATACAGCACGAGAAGATAAAAGTTCCATGATCGACAGAAATTGGCAACGATGATAGCATAGACAGGCATAGAGCGAGTAATCTCATGCCACGGTGTTGTTGCCATTGTTGGCATTTTAAGCTTCACTGATTCACCTAATGACTTTTCGATGTATTTCAATTCCTGTATTGTTATTGCTGGATGATCTCGAGGCTTCTCGAATGTCAACCACAACCAGAATGTGTACCATACCATACCCATTACGCCGTAAAAATAAAATGCAGCCTTCCAACTTATCCAACTAGTTAATATTCCACACATTGGCATACCTAGTTAATACAAAGAGATTAGATTGAGACAGAAAAAAAGATTGAAGGTGAAGCATACCTATAACAATTCCAGCATACGATCCACTGAATGCCACTGTCGCTAACCTACTTCTTTCGAGCGGTGGTGCCCAAAATCTCCAGATACCCTTTTAAAAACAGGAAAATATGTAAGTGATCCTCAAATTAATTGCTATGAGTATTAATCTTACCTATTAATTAAGCAAAAACTTCGTTACTCAAAAGTTTAATGAATGAAAATTGTCAGACATGTCAAAAACATCAAATGGAATGAATTCAGATTGTTAAAAATTTAGATTAAATTACAAAACCATAAAAGAACTGAATTCATCCCATCAAAGATTTTCATTGAAAAATCAAATTAATAATTTAATTAATTTCCATAATTGAAACGATATAAAGACATGACAGGCTGGATAGGTGACACCCTGAAAAGAAAAAAAAATATAACTTTAATGACTGACAGAATAAAATTCAATATATTCATCACAATATGCCCTTAAGATATCTCCATTCACAGGATATTAAATAAAATCTGGATTGAATATAAGGAATTACGAGTTATGAAAGGGAAGGAAAAGTCTTTGCTGAATAGAATCATGTAATATATCAGATTTTCTACGTATTATGATTGTTATTTTTGTATCAAAAAATATGGCAGCATATAAATCTCTTTAAGTTCCTTTTCCAGATGAATGAGCACATTTTAAATTCATTGTTCTGACTATGTTTTAAAGCTCTTACCTCAACGAGTCCCTGCAACACACGAATACATATGATTATTGCAGGAAACTCAAAAGCTCCCGGTAAAAATAAATTAAGAAATGCTGAACAGGCAATGGCAGTTCCAAAAATTCTATTTGCTGGAAATACTGATGCTAAAAATCCACCTGGAATTTGAGTCACGAGGTAGCCCCAGAAGAAGGAAGAATCAACAGCACTCTCTGTCGCTACGCTCCATTTGAATTTGATTTGATTTGGACCTAGTGTTATGTTGGATGTATTGGCCTGAATGTGGATGGGAATAAATAATTTGTTGGTCAAGTAAGATGTTATTGTTGGATTCTCTTGCCGTAAAGATTTTTGAATTTATGAAAACAACGGAAAATTTAAATATTTTGGGAGTTCGTTTAACAACTTTTGAGTTAATTCAGAAAGAAAGTAAACGAATCATTTCTCAGAAATTAAGTGCAAGCACAGCATTCATCTCACTAATCATTCTTCATTCCTTCCAGACTAGATTATTGGTAATTTTCATAATTACTGCATAACTTCATCAGCTTTACATAAGTAAATCCAAGAGCAAAACACATCTCATACATCACCAAGCAAGATGTTATTCATAAAATCTATCTCATTTTCATCGTAAAAAGGGAGACTCTATGGAGTCAACAAACACATTTATATGTAATATTATCATAATACTCTTTTTCTATTTTATCCTCATTTAGAATTATACTTTTCTTTTCATTCTTACACAATAGATGGTTATCATACTTTCTATTCCATTTTTCAAGCAATCCATTCATTCTATCATTCAACTCTCGCCCCCCGCCTATCAACGCACAAACATAAAATTCATAGCATCAATAAATCCATTCAGTAGATGGGAAGTGAGAAAAAAAAAATTAAATGAGCACGAAAAATACAGTCACATTTTCCATTTCCTGTCAACATGTCGAACCGGAAACGATGTGGATGGAGGAGATCTATGAATCGTATAGTTAAAGGCATTGGAGACGTCTCTATTGTGTTGATGGCAAAGTGCAAAAAACCATTTTTTATTTATGTTTCACTTTCGCACCATAAAATTCGTTATTAATGCTTCAAGGCATGTGACTTGAGTTAAAAAAGAACATTTTCTTCTACTTACTGGAAAGGGGTGGACTTTTGAGAACTGTATTAGTCAATGACATATAACGACACTAATGGAAGTTCATCATTAATAAACACAATTCTATAATTACACCTACGATTATGTTCCAAAAACGACATTCATGCATTTCAATTTGTAAACCATCATAACATGACTTTTCACTGTATCTTCATGCATAGCACATCGTAGTAGGGTATGTTGATCAGATTATAGATAATATGGGGGATGTTTATTTTTAAAAGCATTTCCCGTAATCGTGAAAAATAATGATATATAAAAGATTCTAACTTGCTCGTTCACAGTTCATCACCCCACATATAGATTGTCTTTTGAGCGTGCTTCATTCAGGAAATAAAGAAGAATAGCATAAAATATGGAAAGGGAAAACATTTATTGTCATCAGAAGCCGAGCGTCTGGGTATGGAGGGAATTTGTCATAAAAAAATATAAAAATTGTCTACACATTAATGAATACAATTTTCCATTTTTATGAACCCATAATGCAGATTTCCAAAGCAATCTCATTGGCAAGTTCCTAAGTATCCAATTAAGAGTAATTAAATCAGCAAAACTCACACTATGTTCTAGCTGTAGTTTTGCCATTCCCATATTACATCGCATTCCAAATGAAATAACGAAGCCTAAACATGCCATAACAGCTACTGTATAACGTTGTGAGAGACATGGACATTCGGCTTTTGCATATTTATCGATATGTCGCAGTGGTGGTCTTTCTATCTCCTCAAAGGACATCGGCGATTCAGGTAAATTGTCATCGTACATTCTACCATCACTATCTGCACCACCCATTTGTTCATATCCACTTGGCTGGGGCGCTGAGAATTGTTCTCGTTTGAACCTGGAATGAGGAAGAAAGGAAGAAAGAGAAAAAAAAGTTTAGCAAATTCAATTAATTTCTGAATCACGATAAACAATGGACAAGTGTGAGAGTTGAAATTTAATTAAAAGACAATCGAAAAAGGCGAGAGAAGAAGAACTGAGTGAATTAAAGAGACGAGAAAAAGTCGAGTTTTCCATTACCATTATCCAATGTTCCATTGCTCTACAAATGACATTTCAACTTTTATTTTTTTCTTCTCTTGCTTTTGGTAATTTATATTCAAATCAAACTGTGAAACCACTTAATGTCATTTGCCATTGAGCGCAACATTTTCTTTTTATTCATTTTCATCTTACATGTAAATAATGAAAAAGGAAATAAGATCGTCATGAATTTTAATATGCTTACAAATTTAATGTTGTTGCTGCTGAGAACATTTTGCGAATTTTTATTATTCGGGAGAAAATCGAGTTCTTTAAGGATGTAAAAATATCTACTGAACGTCATTTAAATGTGGGATGGTATCTTACGCCATTTGAATGAACATGATGAATGTTTAATATTTTGTTGGATGGCATCCAAACAGCTGTGAAGTGAAGTGCCTTGTTGTGACGTAGTTTTGGAAATATTTTGAGTTGCTAGGTACAATTTAAGGTTTCAGCAGACGATATTCTAGAAGAATTGTCGCCAAGTCTGAAAGTTACATCGTGATTCACCTTACATAATCCCATCTGCATTACAGAGGGTTGTTAAGTCTCTAAATCATCGAAAATAATGTCCATATCATGACCTCTCCCTTATATGAGCTCATGTATTAAACATTATGTAATAAATAACATCACAATGACATCTCAATCCAGTAGATATATGTAGATTGGTCATTTTTAAAGGATACTTTTTATGGTATCTCATTTACGATTGTTACATTCTTGTTATTTTTAATAAATTCAAGTGCATTATAACACCTGAATCATGATCATAAAAGCCCATAAACACAATGACTCCTGTGAAGGGATATCAATTTGCTAAAATGCCATAATATAGCACATATCCAATGTATTTTCATTCAAATAATGTATATAATGGAACCCTATACAGCATGCATCGAATTTCATCGCAATTTTCACCACAGAAATCTCAACGTTTTTTATTGCTCCATAGGTATTGAATATCAATTGTGTTCAACAACAAATCTGTGCGATGTAAGGATGGGAATAGGATGAAAATTAGAGGAATGGAAAGGTTTCAAGTAAGAAAGTTTTGAACTTTTATTGTTTAAGGCGCATTTTTTGAAGATTTTTAAAATAAATTTTTGAAGGTTATATTAAACTAAGCATTTTGAGACTAGCTGCTTCGGTAAGTCCTTGGGCAGGTCATTAAAGCTTATTTAATATAAACCAGGATCCCCTGATCATGTTTACTTGAGTCAGTACAGGGCATCCTTAACTTAATAAAAACCAAAAAAATTCCGAAAACATCCCTCAATATTTAACTTTATCAAACTTTTTAACATTAAACCTGATTAAAAGTAGACAAAATAGTCACAAACTCACATGTTAAAGACGTAAAATCCATAAAAATCAATTTAACATTATTGGAAAATTTGTTTCTTAAAGATTACGATTTTATTCGATGAAAATTGAACCCCGTTGAAAATAGAAAGGAAAATTTCAAGAAGGGAACCTTAAATTGAATAATGGAAAAACATTTTACACTTTTTTTTCATGCCTTTACAATTATTCAAATCCTTTTAAGTCGCTGAGCAACGGTAAACGCGTCAATATCATACAAATTCACTTTTATGTCTTACACACAAAGCAGAGAAAAAATTGTTCAAAACAACTTAAATGATTGTGCTGTTTGTAAGGAGATTTAATTTAAATTTATATTTATCTTCAAGTGGCTTTCCTTAAGGATTCTTATTCCTTTTCTCAATTTTTTACATCATACGGTGAAATGTAAGCAGAATATCTTACTATGTAATATAAATCTTCATTATCTCATTTTAATTCACCCTCAATTTAAATAATTTTAGAAATGTGTAAATAAATTTCCTTCTTTTGCTGTTTTTTTACGGGCGGAGAACATTTTTTTGATGACATTGGCGATAAAATTAATTTTCTTGATTTACATAAAATTTTCATTAAATGCTCTTGATGATTTGGATGCCAAAAAAACTGTTCTAGTGAAAATTGATTCTTATCAGAAAATTGAATATTTAAATGGACAGCTATAAAATTTGATCGGATTTCAGTTTGAGATTTTTGAAGGAATTAAGAATGAAATGAACTTGCTGAATTAGCTAAGTTGTGCTGAATTTGCTGAGTAAGCTGAATTCTAATGAATTAGCTTAATCATGCTGAACTAGCTGAATAAGCTGAATTATACTGAATTATACTGATTTATACCGAATTAACTGAATAAGCTGAATTCTACTCGATTAGCTGATTTCTACTGAATTAGCTTAATTCTTCTGAATAAGTTAAATCCTCCTGAACAAGCCGAAACAGCTGAATTCTACTGAATAAGCTGAGTTGTGCTGAATTAGAATTTATAAGCTTAATATTGAGTATTTAAAAATCGTCTTCTCTTGAAATATATTTTACATCCAATCCAAACTATTGAAGGTCAAAACTTAAAATTCTTCCAAACTCAAATTCATCAAAATATTTCAAACTAAAACTCAACAAGGCATTCCAAACATTTTTTAATATCAACAGGTCGTATCACTTAATGATATGAGAATAAATAAAAAATTTCTTCATGCTCCCTCCCATTTCATTGCTTTTCCTGCCTACCTACATACTTACTTTCATAAAAGAAAGAAATTCATATGTCCATAGGGAGTTTATATATAAATATACCGTATAAGTGGATGTTTATATTCACTCCCTATGTTGAACATCAACGACTGATGATGATGGTGATGATGCGAAGAGGTATTTTAGACGAACAAAACGTGGGAAACAAGTGAATAATTTATGTATCACATTTATTGCTTTTACAATCTAAATAAACTCATAACGAAATTACACGTGGAAATAAAGAAGGGAAAATTAATTTTTGTGCTTGAAAACACACAGGGCGAAAAGAGGAAAAGGCAACCCCTGTAAAAATAATATTGCATGTACTGTGCAACAGTGTTGAGGAAATCACCAGCAAGAAAATCATTAGTCTGTGGCTTTGATGAATAATTAAACAAAAAGAAAATGGTTAACAAACTGTTAATTTTGATTTTAGTGACTTACTTAAGTGAATCATTAATTTCATTTAAATGCTCGGTTTATTTCATGGGAATTTTTCTCGTTGTCTTGTTGTTTGAGAAAGTACGGGAAAAAATCAATTTAAAAATTTCTGTGTTAAATGAAATGGAACAAAATGATTTTGTTATCATAGGAAGTAAATTCTTTCCATCATATCAGTGCATTGGTAGTAAATATAAATTCATTGAGTTGGAAACCAAAATACGTAAACTGATTAATGTCGGCAAGTCAAAGAAATGCCTCATTTCATCTATCATGACCGCGCTCTATCTGATTTATCAGTTTCAATTTTCTCCATCAATCTTGTGCTTTTGTAAATAGCAATGAGTAGTGTTTTAGCATTTTTTGGGAGAATTATTGATGACTGTTGGTTGATATTCGTCTTAAAGACTAGTATGAAGGAAAATGTAGCTAAAAATTTATACCATAAGAGCAGGTTTTGCAGCTTTTTGCTAATTTACTAATTTTTTTTATTTTTCCCGCCAAAATGTGACTTAACTTGTAAATCATAACCTCAAAAAATCCAAACTAAGGCCAAATTCGCTTCAAAAACATCCCTGAAATATTTCCCACCTCACTTTTTTGTCACTCATTCACCAAAATCTGGAGATTCATTTTCACTTGTTTTCGTTTCGAGGATTTTTTTGGTAATATAAACACACACAATATTTGATTTTAGGATTTATCTTTCTGCTCTTTTAAGCTTCTTCTCTTTATTGAATGGAAATCTTTACTTAAGTAAATATCATTTTGTTGTACATTATTGGAAAAGAAATAAGCTCCGATGAAGTAAAATTCAATACATGCATTAAAGAAATCTTTATTTTTGATTCCTCTATTGTTACTGCTTGTTGTTCTACATTTATATAACGATATCGATTTGGAACGAGAGATATTTTTTTAAAGGGGGAAAATATATAGTGAAAAAGCAATCAAGTGAATTGGCAAGATTTTTACATTTTTTTTGATATGTGAAGTGTATTGAATTGAAGGGTTTCGGTATCAATGTTTATAGTTTATCAATGCTGTATTGTTATCAAAGTCTTGTTTCTTTTAAGTGTAGAGAAATTTTCTTTTAGTTTAATGGAATTTAAAATTTTATGGAATGTGAGTAAGAAAGGCCTGATTTTTTTGTTGAATTTTTGAGGTTAGATCGTTAAAATTTGAAGATTTTCATTTTTTGGAGCTTAAGCAAATATCTGAGGAGCTCTTATCTTTATCAAAAACAGGTTTGAGTTAAGTTTTGTACATTAAGTAATTGAAATTCAGATAGTTTTGAGCTTTTTTTAACTTCAAGGGGAAATCAACTACAAGAATAATGAACATAGTTCATTTCCCCTGTGGATTTCAGTGCAACAAAGTCTGGACTATTGTTTATCTCTGAGAATTCATTTAATAATGTCAAATTGAGCCATTCGAAGCTTTATTTCCACCAGTAGAACTAAGTTCTATCTCCTAAACCACAAAAGAAAGCTTTTTAACTATTAATTCTGTAAAACTTCAAGTTCTTTTATAAAACCTCAAAACCATACAGTCATCAAGTCAAACTTTCAACAAAATCTCATTTTCATTTCAAAAATCAACACAAAAACCATAAGAAACCTTGAAAGTTAATATCGTTAATGTATCGTCGTCGCAGTTTAGAAGTAAAGGAAGTCTTTTGTGATTTTCACATTCTATTGTTGAGCTTAACAGCCACAAATAAAAAATGTTTAAAAAGTAATGTAGCACACATACCAAATGGGGAATAATGGT